ACAGTGGTGGTGCAGTACGGTGCAGCAGGTGCAGAAGGAGCAGAATCGGATTGGACAAAGGGGTTGGAGGATGAGCTGCGAATAGGATGACGCATACAGCATGCGCGCCAGGACGAGGTGATGGATGATGCAACGAGCGTCGTGAGACAGGCTGCCCATTCAAATTGGGATCAGCAGCGAGTCATTTGCAAAGCGCAAATTCAAGTCGTTGCGAGTATCGTGATTTGAAGATGCACGGTCGGTTTGGCATACTCACTGCTGCTGTGTGAAGCAAGTCTGTGAGTCTTTTGAGTTGTGCCTTGCCGCCAATCAAGAATTTGTAACGCGAGGTTGTGCGCCGAAAAAAAAGTTGGCCGCTGCGACGACCGTGCACGCGCGACGAAATCAAGCGCGGCCGCCGCTTACGCACGCGCTGCGCATGTTTTGTCGAGACGCGCTGTGTGAATCTTTTCGTTCTCGTTGAGTGTGAGCATTCACGAATTCGAGACTTACGCGTTCCTTCCTGACCATAACATCACCGCCAGGAAGGCACACACACCGCTGCTGCCACCATCTGCCGCCCATTACCCCGTTCGTCAGCACTTGATTTCATTGCTCCTTCTATGCTCACGCCCTTCACGCCAGCACACCCTGAGGAGCAAATCAGCCATCAGTCGCTGATCGGACTTGCGTTAAGCGGTGGAATGTATGCGCTGCACTTTGTCGTGTCACCTCTCAGATTCGCATTGGTCGATGAGTCACTCGAACCGCATCGGAAAGCGGATTCGCACAGGTAGGTCAAGATCCTTTACCTCGTCCCGCAACCCAATCACCACACGCATGCTGCTATATTCATCACGTTGCTCGATGACTCTGTTCATCACATGGGCAATCGGCTGAGGGAAAGGCAGCAAAGATCAATCCAACAAGATTTCGTTCTCAACCAAGACTTTTTCCTTGGTGCTTCTGATACATATTACGCGTCTCTTTCGTACTGCTCAACAAGGGACGCGCAAGAAAGGAAGCCGACATCGAATTTTATCGTGCTACTCGTGGATGGCGGCGAGAGGCGTCGAAATGTTGCTCGGACGCTGGTGCAACTTCGTCGCTGACACACACCAAGGTGGCAAAGTCTATCGAGCCGTGTTTGGCGCATGTTCGACGCCGTCTCTCGTCGTCCACGAAGCATATAGAAGGTTGCGCATGGGCTGTCGATGTCCCCATGTGAGGCAGTCGGCGAGCTCGACGAGTTCCTTTGCGCAGTTCTGTAGCTGCTGAGCAGCGTCCAGAGACGGTCAAAGGACCGCATTGCAGCTGCGGTGGGGAGATGCTCATCAAGAGCTTTTTCCACCATCGATCTTTTGCTGTAGGGAAAGTCCCCGGACAAGCGATCTCTTTCCAAGAAGCAGTTTTCTCATTCGGACACGATCCTCCTCTCGAGCTTTGTCTTTTGTGCTTTTGCAATCCCCACATCGGACAACTGCCCACGACGTTTACAATGGTGCATGGAAGCGGGGTCATGATGGCTCTCGCGTTTGGGACCTCCACGCTGTCGACTTGCACCACCATCCACTCGTCTCATCGGAGAGCGGCCAGTGCCGTAATGCGCACGGCTCTTGACGCGGTACACGATGCAAGTTGGGAGCGGGGAGGTCGCGGCGTGAACATGGGTCGACTTCTAGCTGGTGTCACCT